TGTATGAGTTTATTCCACTGTCCACACCTGAAAAAGAGAAAATTAAAAATGAGCAAAGAAAGGGAAAACAAACACACACACACACACACACACACACACACACACACACACACACACACACACACACACACTTCAAAGACGATACACCACGATACACTGGATATACTTCTCGTAAACCAAAACACACATACACACACACACACACACACACACACACACACACACACACACACACACACACACTAACATCCAGAAAGACGACTAAGTTACAACAACAAAAATGTTCATTTTGTATGGTATATATTAGCACAGCCAATGGGTTATAGAACAGTCGGGAGAATCACCAAGACTAAGAGTTTACAACATTATCTCCTGTTATGCAGTAATGGATGCTGATCTGTGGCAGATCAGCTCTGGCGTTATGACAAGCAGCCCCGTTTTCCTGGAAGTTCTGGTTCTGTCTCCCTTCATTATTAACAATTGTGAGGCAGCGTGGTGGAATCAGGCTCTCGTCAAAATAATCAAAATGAAGAACCTTTTTCCCCAGGTTTGTGAATTTTTATCAAATCTTTATTTTTTGGCTCAACACCTTTCATGCCCATTAAAAAAACTCATTTCTGTATGAATTTTTCCGAAAAACGTTGATTAAAGGCACAAAAAATCACGAACTCTTAATTAAGCTAAGGAAATATATGTAGCTAATCTTTGGTGGCCATTTTCTCACTAATTTTACCTCCAAAAACAGGTGACCCCTACCTCCTTCTTTTGCAAATATTTCGACTTGTTAATGGATATTTTTTGCATCCAAATAAAGACAAGTGAACAAGCTTTAAGATCATACCAATAACTCTACGTGCCTGATTCCACCGCGCTGCCTCAAAATTAATAGTTCCATGCTAGTCTAAAATTTTGGTTGGATGACGAGGTATCGGTCAGACGTCACCGAATCACGGACCATCTTAATGGTAACCTTTTCAATAGTGTGTTGTTTTTACATGCTGCCTATACCATGTTTTACGTGGGTTTTAGAATTCGAGTTCGGTTCTTCCATGTACCCAAACCTTTCAAATTTTGCAGCCCATTTTTAAATGTACCTTTTGCTGGAGCATAATGTTTGCTACACATATCTATCAACCTTTATCATCTTTCCGTTGTGCGACAGAAATGATCTTTTTAAAAGCATAATAATCCGGATTAATGTTTTAGTCTTAGATCAATTTTGACGTAAATTAGATCATAAACAAGAAAGGTATTAACATTTCTTTAAATGAAATTGTTTTTGGTCACCTGGTACGTCCTACAACTGGAAAAGCTAAGATATATAGATAGATTGGTAGATCGATAGATCGATAGATAGATAGATACGTGTGAGTTGATCAGAGATACCAAGAGAGAAGTATAGAGAGGGAGACAGGAAAAGAGAGAGTAAAAAGAAATAAAAGTGAGCGAAATTGTCATCATCATCATCATTGTCTGATGATGACCCTTTCGCCCACTCTTTTTTTCTTCATTCTCTCTCTTTCTTTATCTCTCTCTCTCTCCCCCT